TTCCACATATCACCCCTTCATCTTCAACTCACCCTGTGCCCTCTATCTGTCTATCAATCAATCTATCTATCTATCTATACATACATATAATTTTTTTCCCCTCCAACTACCCTAATACTGACAAAAGTCTCAAGAGTTACAAATATCATCTTTCCCTGCAGGAATGTAAACAGTTCAACCTTAATAAGTCTCTTATGATTTCTCTTTCCTGTTTACCTCTTCATGTTCCACTTGAGTCTTGTATTTGAAAGTTAAATTTTCTATTCAGCTCTGGTCTTTTCATCAAGAGTGTTTGAAAGTTGTCTATTTCACTGAATGACCATTTTTTCCCCTGAAGGATTATACTCATTTTTGCTGGGTAGGTGATTCTTGGTTGTAATCCTATCTCCTTTGCCCTCCAGAATATTATATTCCATGCCTTGCAGTCCTTTAATGTAGAAGCTGCTAAATCTTGTGTTATCCTGATTGTGTTTCCACAGTACTTGAATTGTTTCTTTCTGGCAGCTTGTAATATTTTCTCCTTGACCTGGGAACTCTGGAATTTGGCTACAATATTCCTAGGAGTTTTCTTTGGGGATCTCTTTCAGGAGGAGATCTGTGGATTCTTTCAATTTCTATTTTGCCCTCTGGTTCTACTATATCAGGGCAGTTTTCCTTGATAATTTCTTGAAAGATGATGTCTAGGCTCTTTTTTTGATCATGGCTTTCAGATAGTCCAATAATTTTTAAATTCTCTCTCCTGGATCTATTTTCCAGGTCAGTTGTTTTTCCAATGAGATATTTCACATTGTTTTCTAATTTTTCATTCTTTTGGATTTGTTTTACAGTGTCGATTTCTCATAAAGTCACTAGCTCCAATTGCTCTATTCTAATTTTTAAGGAAGTATTTTCTTCAGTAATCTTTTGGACTTCCTTTTCCATTTGGCCAATTTTTCTTTTTAGGGCATTTTTCTCCTCATTGGCTTTTTGGACCTCTTTTGCCATTTGGGTTAGGCTATTTTTTAAAGTGTTATTTTCTTCAGTATTTTTTGGGTCTCTTTAGCAAGCTGTTGACTTGTTTTTCATGATTTTCTTGCATCACTCTCATTTCTTTCCCAGTTTTTCCTCTACTTCTCTTACTTGCTTCTCAAAATCCCTTTTGAGCTCTTCCAAGGCCTGGGACTGATTCATATTTTTCTTGGAGGCTTTGGATGTAGGAGCTCTGACTTTGTTGTCTTCTTCTGGTTGTATGTTTTGATCTTCTCTGTCACCAAAGTAAGATAATATAGTCTGACTCTTTTTGCAGTGCTTGCTCATGATGCCGGCCAGTCACTTGAGTTTTAAACTCTTTGTTAAGGTAAGAGTCTGTTTCCAATGTGGAGAATGTACTGTCCCAAGCTTCAGGGGTTTATATAGCTGTTTTCAGAGTTACTTGTAGGGACCCATAAATTTTCAGTTCTTGCAAGGTGGTATGATAAGGGGTGAGATGTTTACTCCTTTCCTGGCCTGTGCTGTCGTCTATTAGTGACCACAAGCACTCCTTTCTATCCTGGAACTGCGAAGAAGGTTTCCCATCCACAGCCACTACAAGCTCCACCACTCCAGCGCTCCTCCTCACCCCAGGACCCCCGTCTAGAACTGTGACCTAAATGCAAGCACGGGCAAAGCAAGAGATTCCTGCCTCAGCACCAGCAGAGAGATCCCTGCAATCCCCCTCTGATCAGCCACTCCATTCCCCTCAGTCTGTGGGCCGGAAGCTTGGGAAGCAGCTGCCCACCCCAGGGCCAAGTTCTCGGGCAACTGGAGTTGAGACCCCACCTTCCTCTCTCAGCACCACAGAAACAGACTTTTCCCACTGATCTTCTAAGTTGTCTTTGGCGTTCGGGGGTTGAGAAGTCTGGAAACCACCACAGCTGCCCACGATTCAGTCCTCTGAGGCGTGCTCCAGGTTTGCTTGGGCCTGCGCACCCATGCTGCACTGCGCTGCTCTCCCAGCCCAACATGATATACCTTTCTGATCAATCATCCAGGTTGTCTTGGGCTGGAAATTTATTTCACTCTGTTGTTTTGTGGGTTCTGCTGCCTTAGAATTTGTTTAGAGCCATTTTTTATAGGTATTTGGAGGGGTTTGGGGGAGAGCTCAAGCAAGTTGCTGCTTTCACTCTGCCATCTTGGCTCTGCCCCCTGGAAGGGATCTTAAAACGCAGAATGTCAGAGCTGGGAGGGAGTTTCAATCATAGCCTATCAGAGCCAAAAATGAACTTTGAACTTAGAGTGAATGTAACAGGTACAAGAGAATTGGACACCCAGAATGTAGACTGTCAGATCTTGTGAGGACCTTAATGTAGAGAAAGCCAGAACTGAGAGAGACCTGAGTCATCAACCAGGGAATGCCAGAGCCAGGAAGGGACTAAAATCCTAGAACAGAGAATGTGAGAGATGGGAAGAAATGCAGATCTCAGAATATGAAATGTTGGAGCTAGAAGGGACCTTAGAACATGGAATGTCAGAACCAGCAGGAACTTTGTTACATGGAATGTCAGAACTAGAAGGGACCTTAGAACATCGAATGTCAGACCTAGGAGTGGCCTGGGGACAGAGAAGGTCATACATGGCTTGGGGGGCACATGGAATGTTAAACCTTGAAATGGACCTTGGCCACTCTAATCACACCTCTTTTCTGAGAAGGAAATAGCACTTCCTCAGTTCTTTTTGTATCAGAAGTTCCCTAGCATATGTTCCACTGTCACTGAAAAAAAGATACCTTACGAGTGGTGATGGCATCTGTAAAAGTGTGCTTTGAAACTGCTGTATTGATGAGCCCAGGCTTGAGAGACAGCATTGGCCTCTGGGTAGATGTTGTCCTGAAGTTTGGTCCTCCCCAGGGATCTAGGGATGATAAAAGCTTCACAGCAGGCATTGAGGCTGCATCCCTGGGAGCTGGGTACCAGGGGCTCTGGGTGGAAAGGAAAAGGGGTGGGGGAGGTGGGTAGGAAATGTCAGTGAGCAGCCAGCATTGGTGGGCTCCAAAGGCTGGGTAGATGAGAGCATTCAGTGGAATAGGAAGATGAGGAAAAGGAAGGGGAATCATCCACTCAGTGGGCAGATGGGGGCAGGTGTCAAAAGGGCTGTGATGGACCCTGGTAAAGCACAATATTCCAGTGTTGCAAAAAGAGGCTAGGATGGACATCTTGGCTGTAATGGAAAGACCACTGGTTTGGGAGTCAGAAGACCTTGCTTAGAAATCCTCTAGTGACAGAAAACCCTCGGTTGCAGGAGGTAAAACTGAGGTCTGAAGAAGAGAAGAGCCTTGGCTAAAGCCACACAGCTAGTAAGCAGCAGGTGCTCACTAGTAAGTAGCAAGCCTTCCACTCCCCACCAGCAGACAGAGAAGACAAGCCCTCTTCTGATATGGTGTGAACAGACTGACAGAATTGCAGTGGTGACTGTTGCTTTTATGCAGTAGCATACCATGCATCCTGCATGAAATCCAGTGACCTGGGTTTGAGACCTGGGGCTGCCACTTCCCTAGTACTGTGACCTTGGGCAAGTCACTCCACCTCTCTAGGCCTCATTTTTCTCCTCTCTAAAATGGGTGTGTTAACACCTGCCCCACCTACTTCATTAGGGGGTATGTGTGTGTGTGTGGTGAGGGGGGCAGGACTAAGGGGGTGTGAAAATCCTCAGGAGGCAGAAAACACTATCAACATATGAGGGCTTCTTCCTTGTGTCTGACCAAAATCTTTCTTGCTGTGCTCCACACCCATTATCCTCTCTCCGTTCTTCCCAAAGCCTCCTACTCTGCCTCCATTGTTGAAGCCTACTCTCCCCCAAGAAGGGAACCCAGACTACCCACCTCTTTCCTTAAAGCACATTGTCCTTTAGGGATGCTCTGCCTTTCTGGGCTCAGCAAATTGCTCAATACCCCACTCATGGAACCTTTCTGCAGAAGGGCAGATCTGCTGCCAGCTCTGTAGCAGCTTGGGACAGGGCTGTGGCAGTAGCTGGTGCAGGGGATTTCAGGCTGACACCAGGGTCCAGGAGCCAGAGCGTGAAGGAAAGGAGGGAAAGATGAAGATGAGCAGAGGAGGAAAAGAAGAGAGGGAGGATGGGGAAGATGCAAAGGTAGGAAGGAAAGAGAAAGGGAGTAGAAGGAAGAAGAGGAAGGAGAAGGAAGAAGAGGAAGGAGGAGGGGGAAAAGGAGACAAGGTGAAAGAAGAGGATGAGGGAGAGGAGGGGAGGAGGAAGAGGAATCAGAGAGGAGAAAGGAGAACAGGAAGGAAAAAGAAGATAGAGGAGAGGCTGGAGCTCAGTGCTGTAGGCTTAAAAAGCCCAGACCAGTCCTTCAGCCAGCCTCCTGTTGAGCTGCATATGCTGAGCCAGTGCTAGGGTATGCAGGGAGCAGGAGGGTTTGAGCCAGGGAGAATGACTCCCAGTGAGCCTTGCCCTCCTGACCATCTCTTAAGGTGGTAGGACCAGCAGGAAACAGCCAGGGCCTGACCCCACCACATATGGCCTCCCAGGGATGTGCAGAACCTTCTCAGGGGAGGACTTCCCAATAAACACTAGACAAAGCAATTAGTCAGCAATCATTTATTAAGTCCTTACTGTATGCCAAAACATTGTGCTAAGCGCTGGGGATACAATGGAAGGCAAAAACACTATCTGTGCTCTCAAGGAGCTCACATTCTAACAGGGGAGACAATAGGTACACAAGATATAGACAGAGTAGGTGGAAGGCAATATGCGAGGGGAAGGCACTAGTAGCTGAGGGAGCTGGGAAAGGCCTCCTGCAGAAGGCGTCCCTTTGCCTGAGCCTTGAAGGAAGCCAGAGAGTCTAAGAACCATACACTCCTCAAATGCCTGCTGTGTGCATGGCACTGTACTGGGCACTAAGAGTGATACCACCTTTTCCTCTCCCACTCCTTCCTTCTTCTTGTACTCACCAAGACCTGACTGTGGTTGCAGTTTTGCTCATTCCCCCCCCCCACTCACCTCCCACCCTCCCTCCCATTCCCTCATCAAGGTGGAGGAGTTGGAATATTCCTTGCTCCCCACTGCCATCTCCCTCTACCACCAACACCCCATAACTTTTCCTCCTTTGAAGTTCACTCAATCCATGTTTCCCACTGAGTCAAGGTTCTAGCAAACTTAATGAGAAAAGGGTATTAAAAGACAAGAGAGACAAGCTCATCTGGCAAACAGATAATATTACTGATTGAAGTGCAGATAACATACACATACACACTTGCCATCCATCACTTCTGACTAGTATTTAATTACCCATGACCAAATTCTTCCTTCACGTGCTCTGGCCTGGTCACACACTCTGCATGGCTAAGAAAGTACTTCACAGTTATTTCTGTCAATAGATAGAAAATATATGGCAAAAATATACACACAAAAATAAATAATCATTATAGTCCTCAGATGACTAATATTATTCAAGTTAATTTTGGGGATTTTTTGTTGTTGTACAACTAGACTCTGAATTAGTTTTGTCTTTCTAGCAACTACAAAAGCACAATCTTATTTCTTCAAATTTAATTTAGTATAAAATATACCTAAGGTGACTTTGCTCTCTTTGGACTTTCTATTATGAAGTTGACTTGCAGAATCATCAAATCAAGCACATGGTAAACATGATGATATTAAAAGGGTGAAGGGAGGGGGAAGGAGAAAGAAGAAGTGTTAGTAGAATTAAAAGGCAGAAGTAGATAAAAGGAAAGATGCTGTCAACAGAACTTCAGGCTGATGTTCCTTGGATGCCAGCTCCCTGATAGACCTTGAAAAGCCAGTCACAGGGGACTTTGCTGAAGGGTTTAAAGCTGGATTGAAACATTTAGTCAGTCACAGATCTAATACATATAGCAATTTAAAACCAAGAACACTAGAGGTGCTTAGAAGATGAAAGAGCAGGAAAAGCAGTCCCTAAGTTCTTTTCCTTCTTGGGTTAGCTTAAGCTGAGTCAACAATTTACAGCACAGTGAATGTACTCTGCTCCATGGGTCCAAAACAGGGAATGCTGTGTGAAACTGGCAGATGATCACTTTTCAGGCAAACATCAAGGAAACTTCAACCTTCTAGGAAAACAGGATCTGAGCTGATTCACTCTCCATAGGTGTAGAATTGATGGTCCTCAGCCTCAAACGGTGGCATCTCTTGCATGCTGGAAGAGACAAAAATGAAACAAAGCATTAAGTTACAGTCAGTGCTTGTTAATCTGGAAATGGGAGGAGAGGAGGGATGGGGGCCAAACTGAGACCAACTAGATATATTTACCAAAAGATTGAGTATGATATGGATTTTCCCCCACGGCCACATATACTTGCTAACAGATAGATTAATTAATACACTGCAAAATTCAACCTGAAAACTCTTCTACTTATCAGTATCTGTGGTAGGAAGGAATGGTTATAATTAGTACTGGAAAAGAAAAGAGAAAACAGGTTGAGAAGGCAGGGTTTAAAAAAAAAAGCCTTATTGTGTATCGTCCAAGGGATTTAGAGATAAAAACCTGTATAAAAGCATGTGTTTAGGCATTAAAAAAATAAAGTCCTATTTTCTATTTTACCTCATGAATGCTTGCCGGTCTCCTCTCCATATGGGTTCTCTGCCATACTGGACATACTGGACATACTGGACATTCTGGACATCCTGCATGCTGTTCTGGAAACTGTTCTGGTAGCTGTTCTGGAAACTGTTCTGGTAGTTGTTCTGGAAGCTGCTAGGGTAGCTGCTCTGGAAACTGCTCTGGAAGGTGTTCTGGAAGCTGCTCTGGACAGTGTTCTGGCCACTGTTCTGGGCATTTTTCTGGACGTGGGATGCTCCAGAACCAAGGCCGTACAAGTATCCAGAATACTTGGCATCGTCAATGTGGTCTTCGAAGAACATTTCTCTCATTTTGAAAAAGGCCATACCTGTGAGCAAGGAATCGGACCCCGCCTGGTGCTGGGAGCCAATGCGCTCCAGCTCCAGCTGAGTGGCCACTTCCTGCAGTCCGCCCCTGAGGGTTTTGCAGCTTTTCATGAGGTACTTGATGTCATAGATGACAGGAAAGAAGAGTCGAAGGATCTCGAAGAAGTCTTGGGCTTCTTCGGGCAAGGGAGAGTTGGTGAGGATCTTGATGAAGTAGCCAAAGTCATAGCCACTGTGGAAGGAGAGCCACTTGACCCCTTCACACAGCACCACTCCTGATGTCATCAGGAGCTCTGCAAAATACTGTGCCTCGATGCCCTCCTCCTCGTGCTTCTTGAACTGGATCCCTGACATGGTGAGGAGCTCGATGGAATCTTGTGCGTACATGTCCTCCTTCAAATTGAATTTGAAATTGAACTGCCACGTGGAGGTTCCTGGAGGGCACTCTCCTTGCTCATTCATAAACGTCAGTCCCAGCTGGATGATCTTCAGCCAGTCCACATTGCATCTCAGCAGCTGGTACTGGTAGTCAGCATAGCTTCTGAATTCTCCCACGGGTCTGGCCACCACACCTGGGAACTCCGTGTCCATAGCCACGTAATTGTACTGCTGGATAACGGGTCGCATTTTCTTCATCTCCTCGTCCAGGTTGCAAGCCCAAACTTCCCGGATGCGCGGGCTCTGGTCGGCATGGGCAGCGGGCATGGCGGGCAGAGGCGGGGCGCGCCGCGGGGGCGCCTCAGGCGCCAACAGGCAGCAGCTCCTCATCCAGCAGATCCAAGATTCGCCTCCTAAAGCACCTTTTTTGTCCCCCTATACTTTGGTACCTGCGCCGGGGCCGCTGCGGTCGCGCTTCTCCGCCTCCACCTCCGCCGCCTCCTTCTCACCATAGAGACGGCCTTCCGTGACTGCGCCCCCTACCTTTCCTTCGTCCCTCCCACTGCTCCGTCCTTCCCTCCCCCCACCCGACGTCCCCCGCTGGCCGCCTGGGGAAGGAAGGAAGGGGGCGCGGGAGCCGCGTGGCGCTGCCCCTCCTCTCTTCTCCCCTGCTCTCCAAGTCCAAGTCCAGGGAGAAAGCTGCGCGGTTACATCAGACTGCCTGTGTGCCCAGATGATGCTGAGCTGATGGCTCCTCTCGCCGGTTATGGGCGATGTGCACGCGTGTCTCTAGGAGACCCCGGCAGAACGTCAGCCCCCCCGCGAGGGGAGGGGAGGCAGGCAGGAGGAGAAGGGAGGGGAGGGGAAGGGGGCGCTTTCGTGCTGGGGCGGCGCGGTGTCGCCGTCCCCCCGCGTGCCGTGCCGCGCCGCCGTGCCGTCCGCCCACCCTGCGTCCCCGCCCGCGTCCTGTCCCCCGACCCCTGCAGCCCCCGGGCCTTTTGGATGTGGTGATGGAGGGATGGAGGGACGACGGAGTGAGTGACACCGCCGACCTAAGCCCAGAATTACACAGGAGGAGGAGAAGGGGGAGGAGGAGTAAGAGATGTGAGGGAGGGAGGGATTGCCTTTGAGAAACGGCAAAACTCTTTTAACTACTCCCGTTAATTTTAATTTCCATACGTAGAGACCTAAGGAAGGACTTCCTTATTATACGAGTTAGCCCAGTGATGTCCAGCCCTAATCAGAGACAGTGAATGAACGAATGAATAAATGAACGAAGGAACGAATGAATGAAGCAAGCAAGCATTTAGGAAGCACTTACTATGCTCAAAGCACTATGCTAAACCCCGGGGTGGGGGTGGGGGGGTACGAAAGAAAGACAGTCCCTACTCTCAAAGAGCTCGAGTTCTAAGTGGAAGCTAGCTAACTTTCAATATTCCCTGCCAATTAAAGCCTAATCAAATGACGCCCCCCCCCCCCTTCAGGCTTGACAAGATGACTTCCCTAAATCCATGGTGAAAATCACGGTCTACAGCTTTTTCTGTACCTCTCCTCACACACATGCAGAGGGGATGGATGGGAATGTGCCCTGAGGAACTTCAGCCTTCCTAATAGAGGCTTCCTTATGGTAATTATTATCCTTCACAGGGGCATCATCACCGTCACCGTGTGTTTCCAGAGGGAGCCACTGGCCTTCTGCCACCAGTACACCTGCCACGGGGGCTATATGGGTGCCAAGGCCGTGCTGGAAATCATGCCCCCAGGCCCCAGAGCTGCACCCCTGAGACTCGCAGGAGACTGTGTGGGTAAAACATTTGTAAACTTTAAAGCGCTGTATAAATGTGAGCTGTTTTGAGGGTGGGGGGCTGGCTGAAAGAGGGAGAGGAGCACGTGGGGGAAAGATGCAAAATGTCTGATTTAGGCCAAGTTTCAGGGAAAATTTCCTAGGCTTGAGAACTGTTCCAAGCAGGGATGGGCTGCCTTGCAGGTGGGGGTTCCCCTTTCCAGCAGAGGCTGCATGATCACTTGTCAAGAGTGTTATATCGGGGACTCCTTCTGTGTGAGTTGGCCTAGATGGCCACTGAGTTCCCTTCCCACTGTCAGTTCTCTAATTTTTTATAAATACCAGAGTTCTGGACTTTGGGGTTGGGAAGACCTTGGTTCAGATTCCACCTCTGAAGCTCAGTCTTCTCATCTGTAGAGTGGCCATTGTAGCTGCCTTACAGGGTTGTTGCTCATAAAGTTTAAAGTGACTGGAGCCAGTGCTGTCCAGAGCCTCTCTGCTACCCACATTCTGCTCCCAGAGGACATGTTGGTGCCAAGGGGTAGTCTTTTTTTTTTCTTTTTAAATTTTCTTTTTATTTTCAGTTCCAAATTCCCTCCCTCCTTCCACCCTTCCCTCAGCCCTCGAGAAGACAAGAAACACCACACCCATAATACATATAAAGTGATGCAAAACATGTTTCTGCATTAGACATGTTCCAAAAAAAAGTAAGAAACATAAAGGAAAAAAGTATGTTTCAGTCTGCATTGAGTCCATCAGTTTTCTATCTGGAGGTAGGTCATATTTTTCATCATGAGTCCTTTAAATTTGTGGTGGATCATTTTATCTATCATAGTTATTAAATCTTTCACAGTTGATGATCATTACCATGTTGCTGTTACTGTGTACATTATTGTCCAGGTTCTGCTCACTTCACTTATTACTTGTTCATGCATTCCCCAATTGATGGGCATCCCCTCGTTTTCCAATTCTTTGCCACCACAAAAAAGACCTGCTATTAAAAAAAGACTTTTGCTATCCACATTCCTACCACAGAGGAATTGTTGGTGCCAAGGAGCATTTTTGATGCCAGTCTCACATGCTGTATCTTCTTCTCATGGGTACCTGGGTCCTCCCAGAACTTCCTTCATGTTCAGTGCCAAGCTTGGGTTACCATGCATTGCATTTGAAATCTTCCAGAGGAGTCATGCCATGCCTCAAGCCCCCACCACAGGCCTTATTTTCCCTCCCACCATCAGCCTATACAGCCAGCCTCTATCTCCTAAACCTGTTTCCTCTCTCAGCTTATAGAACTATCTTAAGAAACCAACAACCCCAACACCTCATCAACTCTCCATTAATCCTACAGATATTTCCTTGGTAGGGGGTTTGAGCAGCATCTGCTGGTTTGAAGTGTGTTCTTTATTTGTCCCATATTACTCTCAGCTTTAGTTGTCCAGCTACATTGTCTTCTCTAGGCTTTATCATTGGAAGAGAAAATTTGTAAAATAATAATATTATTGTTATAAATATATACTGCATTTTGCTGAGTTCTTTTTTTTCCTTACAGACCCTGATGAGAAGAACCGGCAGAGGTTATCCAGGGAGTAGATTTCAGAGCCTCCCTGAGAGGCAGATCTTGGCATCTGCAATTTCTGGCATCACAACCTTCCTAGAGAACAAATCAGACAAAAACAAGACTCCTGTGGATGGTTTCTGCCTCTCTGTCTCTCCAGGTAAGACCACTCAGGATCCAGGCCTACCTCTTCCATGAAGCCTTCCTGAACTATTTTGTCCCACACAAGTATGTTTCCTGTTAATGCCACCTCCCTAAGACTCCCAGGTATAGAACATTGGAGTCATTTTTGACTCATAGAATGAGAGAGAAAAAGCAAAGTATAGGACCAAGGTTTCTCCAGCGGCCAAGGCAACAGAGAAGGAGAAGGAACAGGATAAGCCAGGAAAGTGAGTCCACACATGAGCAAGGTGAAGCATGGCTTGGGATCTTAGAGGCCGTCCTATCCGACTGCCTAATTTTACAGATGAGGAATCTGAGGCACAAAGAAGTGACTTTCCCAGGGTCTTATAGCTGGAAAGTATCTAAGGCAGTATTTGGACTCAGGTCTTCCTGATTCCACTCCGAAGTGCTCTAACTCTGTACAACTTGGCTGCCTCTTCCCTGTCCATCACCTTCATATCCATTCCGCCATCACATCCTGCTATTTTATTCCCCTTAACATCTCTGCAATCTGTTCCCTCCTTTCTCCCCCCAGTGCTGTCACTTTAGGAAGGGCCATTATCTCTTCTGGCCTTTAATATTGTCATGTTGTAATCCTAACTGGTTTTTCTGCCTTAAGAAAGTTGAAAGACCACTGGTCCTGAAGCCAAAGGACATAGATTGAAATTCTGCCTTTGCCATTTACTACCTGTGTGACTTGGGCAAGTCACTACCCTCTCTGGGCCCCATATTCCTCCTCTGTAAAATGTAGTGGGTTAGGCTACACCTGATTGTGGCCTTTAAGACCATCCACTATTTGGCATCTGGAATGTCCTCTTTCCTTATCTCTGCCTCTCAATGTTCGCCTTTGAGTATCTCAGCTCAGGAGACTTCTTTAGGAAGCCTTTCCAAACCTCCCCCATGTTCTCTTTACTTGTTAATCTGTATATAACTTGTGTTATTCCCCTGTTAGGATATAAACATCCTGAAGGCAAGAACTGTTTCTTTTTTGTCTGCACATGGAACAGGGCCCCCCACTACCACATCCCTCCTCACCACACACAAAGCAGATGCTTAATAAGTATTCCTTAAAATGAATTATAGTCAGGCTCCACCTGTGCCTAACAAGTTGTTAGACATCATGCGTAAGAAAAAGCTTAGCAATTAATAAAGACTTGTTAAAGACAAAGGATTCAGGTGCTGTCTTAGAGACTGACTGCCAAGCTTCCTGGTGCGTGGGCTTCTGGCAGAAAATTGGTTCCTCAAAGAAATGAATCTGCTGAGAAGGTAGGGAAGAGCTTCCTACTCTCACTTCCCCCATGATTAATGTCAACACCAGAGCTAAAGCCCACCTCCTGCAGAGGTGGTCACTCCCCAATAAGACACCACCAGTAAGGACTCTTTGAGGGGGAACATGGGTCATCAGAGACAGAATCCTCCCACTGGAGCTGGCTTGACCAGGAATGTCTATTTCTCCATGGAGGCTAAGTGGAAAGCATCCAGATGGAGTGAGACACTGATGCTTCTGCAAGTGTTAGTGTGAGCTCCCTCTCTCTCTCTCTCTCTCTCTCTCTCTCTCTCTCTCTCTCTCTCTCTCTCTCTCTCTCTCTCCCCCTCTTCTCAAATGGCTTTGTACATGTTGTACAACTATGTACATGTTTCTGCCAGTAGAAGGTAAGTAAACTCTTTGAGGGCAGGGACTGTGCATTTTTCATCTTTGAATTTCCTGCACTAACACAGTGACTGGTACACAGGATAATAAATCTAAAGCTGAGAGGGACCTTAGAGGCTATCTTGTCCCAAGCCATCATTTTACAGATAAAGCTGATGGGAGAGAAGTGACTTGTTTAAGGTCACACAGGTAGTAAACACAGCTGCTGTTCAGTTGTTTTAGTCGTGTCTGACTCTTTGTGACACCATTTAGGGTTTTTGTAGCAAAGATACTAGAGTGGTTTGCCATTTCCTTCTCCAGCTCATTTTACAGATGAGGAATAGAGGAAAAGAGGATTAAGTGACTTGCCCAAGGGCACACAGCTATTAAGTA